TTTAAAGAATTACAGATATAAAACATCATGGAGGTGTTTTTCCCTACCAAGTGTCTTCCCTTCATTGCTGGCTATGCTCTGGGCTCATTCTCTCAGAGGTTTTTGGAGTGATTTCCTTAGATATTCATTGCAAGGAAAGATATGCTTAGTATGTTGTCCTGAGGCATCCCAGTGCAAAAAAAAAAAAAAAAATTAGGATTTGGCCAGGCATGGTGGCATATGCCTGTAATCTTTTTTTTTTTTTTTTTTAAAGAGAGAGTGAGAGAGAAGGGGGGACAGAGAGAGAGAGAGAATTTTAACATTTATTTATTTTTTCTTAGTTCTCGGCGGACACAACATCTTTGTTGTTATGTGGTGCTGCTGAGGATCGAACCCGGGCCGCACGCATGCTAGGCGCTTGAGCCACATCCCCAGCCCTGCCTGTAATCTTAATGGCTATGGGGACTGAAGCAGAGGGTTCAGCCTGGGCAATTTAGTGAGACTCTGTCTTAAAATTTTAAAAAAGGGCCAGGCCCAGTGGTGCATGCCTGTAATCCCAACAGCTCCAGAGTCTAAAGCAGGAGTATCATGAGTTCAAAGCCATCCTTTGCAATGGGGAGGCATTAAGCAACTCAGTGAGACCCTGTCTCTAAATAAAAAAATAGGGCTGGGGATATGGCTCAGTGGTCAAGTGCCCGAGTTCAATCCCTGGTACCAAAAAAAGAAAAAAGGCTGGCTGTTCAATCCCAGTACACCTCCACATACACATAAAGTGCTGTTCAAGCCAGGCACGGTGGTGCACACCAGTAATCCCAGTGGCTCACAAGGCTGAGGCAGGAAGATCACGAGTTCAAAGCCAGCTTTAGCAATTTAGTGAGGCCCTAAGCAATCCAGGAAGATTCTCTGAATGAAATATAGAAAAAGGCTGGAGATATGTGGCTCAATGGTTAAGTGACCCTGGGTTCGATCCGTAGTTATCAAAGGGGGAAAAAATGCTGTTTAGATCTTTCTGTGACTACTTGTTTGTCTGTCTTTGGTTAGGCAACTTTGAAGTTGACACCTAAGGAAACAAAGTAGAGTTAATAGAGTCTCTCCAAAATAGTTGTTTTCCCTATTGGGAGAGCTAGTAAAATCTATTCCATCTTAAATGAACTATTGAGTTGCTTTGGTAACTCTTATGATCCTAGATGGTTGAATTCTTGTGAACCTTGTTTTATGTAAACCTGGCCTCAGATTTTTGCCACAGTTAATTCCTAGGGTGTAAGCTTCTTTAAGTCTTAATGTTTTTTATTTTTATTTTTCCTCTGTACCCTCTTTAAAGGCATTGTGTCGGGCTGAGGATGAAGAGGATATCCGTGCTGCCACCCAGGCTAAGGCTGAACAAGTGGCTGAACTTGCAGAATTTAATGAGAATGATGGTTTTCTTGCTGGTGAGGGAGAGGAGGCTGGTCGGCCTGGGGCTGAGGATGAGGAGATGTCCAGGGCTGAGCAGGAGATTGCTGCCCTTGTAGAACAGGTCAGTGTTGAACAGACCCATTAGTTCTTGCCTTTATCCTGTACTCAGGACCCTTTTATCTGTCTTCCCTGAAGATAATAGATAAGGGTGCAAGAGCCCAGGTCCTATGTTCATCACATCTGCTCTTCCCTGCAGCTGACCCCCATTGAGCGTTATGCCATGAAATTTCTGGAGGCCTCGCTTGAGGAAGTGAGCCGAGAGGAGCTTAAGCAGGCAGAAGTAAGTATCTCTGGGGGCTGAGACTTCCTGCTGATTTCTATATATTCCTTGCTCTGCTTGCCTCCTGCTGACCCCCCTTGGGTTCTGTTGTTGGTAGGAACAAGTGGAAGCTGCCCGCAAAGACCTGGACCAAGCCAAGGAAGAGGTGTTTCGCCTACCCCAAGAAGAGGAGGAGGGGCCAGGGGCTGGGGATGAGATTTCCTGTGGGACTGGTGGAGGCAGCCACCGGCGCAGTAAGAAGGTCAAGGCCCCTGAGAGGCCAGGGACTCGTGTCAGTGAGCGTCTTCGAGGAGCTCGGGCTGAAACTCAAGGGGCAAACCACACTCCTGTCACATCCACCCATCATACCCGCAATACCTCCACACCCCCCCGCTGCAGCCCTGCCAGGGAGCGAGTTCCCAGGCCAGCACCTAGGCCTCGACCTGCTCCAGCTTCAGCTCCTGCTGCAATTCCTGCCCCAGTCCCTGCCCCAGTCCCTGCCCCAGTCCCTGTCCCAGTCCCTGTCCCAGTCCCTGTCCCAGTACCCATTTCAGCCCCTAATCCAATAGCCATTCTTCCTGTCCATATCATGCCTTCTCCCCCAACTCCTCCACAGATTCCTCCCTCTTGTTCCCCTGCCTGTACCCCTCCTCCTGCTTGCACCTCTCCACCACCTCATACCCCACCACCCACCCAAACCTCTCTCTCAACTCCTTCCTCTCCTCTCCTGCTTGGTTCACCTTCTGTGCCCATCTCTTCCCCGGTCACCAACCTCTCTTTGGGCTTGGGGCCTGAGGCAGAACTCCGTGTACAAGCATTAGCATCTACGGAGTCCCTGGAGCTGGCTGGCATGACCAGTTCTGAGACCTCCCCGCTTCCTCTTGTACCCCCTAAGGATCTGTTGCCAGTTTCTGTTGAGATCATGCCCGTATCTGAGAAGAACCTTCCTCTCATCCCTTCTGCACCTAGCCCAACCTTGGAGGCTGACGGCATCCCCAATGGTCAAGAGCAGGGGGTACCATCTTCTGCTGAGGGGACCATCCTTACAGTGCTGCCTGATGGTGAGGAGTTGCCCTCGGGTCTGAGAGAGAGCAATGGGCTGGAGCTCCCACCTACAGCAACATGTGATGAGCCACTTCAGGAGCCACTGGAGGCTGACAGGAACTTGGAAGAGCTGGTAGAAGAAGTTCAGACCCCAACCTCAAGCCCAGAGAAGCCACAAGAACTTGCTGCACCTGAGGTCACAGCCCCATCAACCTCATCTTCAGCCACTTCCTCTCCTGAGGGTCCTTCACCTGCCCGGCCCCCTCGTCGTCGCACCAGTGCTGATGTAGAAATTAGGGGTCAGGGGGCTGGTCGTTCAGGGCAACCTCCAGGCCCCAAAGTGCTTCGCAAGCTGCCAGGACGGCTAATAACTGTGGTGGAAGAAAAGGAACTTGTGAGGCGAAGGCGACAGCAGCGGGGAACTGCCAGCACCCTAATACCTGGGGTCTCTGAGACTAGTGCCAGCCCAGGAAGCCCATCTACCCGCAGCTTGTCAGGGCCAGAATCCTCACCTCCCACCAGTGGGCCCTGTGAAGCTGCTCCCTCATTCTCACTGCCTACACCAACCCAGCCACCCTTCATAGCTCGTCGTCACATTGAGCTGGGAATGACTGGTGGGGGCAGCCCAGAGAATGGAGAAGGGGCACTGCTTGCTATCACTCCACCTGCTGTGAAACGTCGGAGGGGAAGGCCCCCCAAGAAGAACAGGTCTCCAGCAGATGCTGGGAGAGGGGTGGAGGAGGCACCCTCATCCACCTCTAAGGGAACAACCAATGGGGCTGACCCAGTTCCTGGAGCTGAGACCCTAATTGTTGCGGAGCCTGTCTTGGAGCCTCAGCTTATTCCTGGGCCCCAGCCTCTTGGACCCCCATCAATTCACAGACCAGAGCCCATCGTCCTGTCACCTGTGGAGAAAAGAAGGCGTGGGCGGCCCCCTAAGGCACGGGATTTGCCCATCCCTGGGACTATGTCCTCTCCAGGGGATGGCAATTTAGAGAGCCGGACACAGCCACTCCCACTACCACCACCATTGCCACCACCCCTACCACTTTTATCCTGTCCCACTGCTACTGTCGCCAACACTGTCACCACCGTCACCATTTCAACATCCCCACCCAAGCGAAAGCGGGGCCGACCTCCCAAGAATCCACCATCACCTCGGCCCAGCCAACTTCCTGTTTTGGACCGCGACAGCTCTTCTGTCCTTGAGAGCTGTGGATTAGGGAGGCGTCGGCAAGCCCAGGGCCTCGGGGAGAGTGAGGGTAGTTCTTCTGATGAGGATGGAAGCCGCCCCCTTACCCGCCTGGCCCGCCTGCGGCTGGAAGCTGAGGGAACCCGGGGACGGAAAAGTGAAGGGTCCATGGTGGTGGCTGTAATTCAGGATGACCTGGATTTAGTAGATAGTGGGCCAGGCGGATTAGAATTGACACCTCCTGTGGTTTCATTAGCCCCAAAACTGCGCTCAACCCGGCTGCGTCCAGGGTCTCTAGTTCCCCCACTAGAGACTGAGAAGGTGCCTCGCAAACGGGCGGGGGCCCCAGTTGGTGGGGGTCCTGGGCTGGCAAAGCGGAGCCGTCTACAGCCTCCAAGTCCCCTGGGGCCTGAGGGTTCGGTAGAAGAGTCTGAGGCTGAAGCCTCAGGTGAGGAGGAAGAAGGGGATGGGACCCCACGGCGCCGGCCTGGCCCCCGCAGGCTTGTTGGGACCACCAACCAAGGGGACCAGCGCATCCTGCGCAGCAGTGCCCCTCCCCACCTGTCTGGCCCTACCATTAGTCACAGAGGCCGAAAGGCCAAGACGTGAGTGGGCTGCCCCTCCACCTAGGCTTTCCACCATGGCTGCTCTCCCTCCATGACCAGGCCTGACTCTGTTAACCACTACTTGAAGTCTTTTGAGGGGGAAAGCCTCCAGGGAGATGTAAGGGCCTTCTCCCTTCTTTCCACCAAAGTAGGGGGGTAGGCAACTGGTTGTCATGGAAATGGGGCTCATCACAATCCCCCTTCCCTTCCACCCCACATGGCTGGGCAGTGTTAAGGGTGGCAAGATAGTCTGTCCCCACCCCCTTGTACTTGATTCCCCAGCTATCTTCACAGCCCCACACCCTTAGGGGAAGGGGGATGGGGCTTCTCTACAATGAGTTTTTTTTTTCTTTTTTCTTTTTCTTTTTCTTTTTTTTTTTTTTTTAAGAAGAAAAAAAATAATAAACTTAGTTTCTGTACGAGCATCCGCGTAAGGAGGCTTCTGATTTTCTGGTCTGGTGGAGGGTTGGGTGGGAACTTGGGCATCATTTTTTCTACTCTTGCTCTTGGGAAGACCCATATTTAACTGATCTCTAAACCAGGATTGTATACCTTTGAGGCAGAAAACACCCTCAGGAGGAGGAAAGATAAGCAAATCTGATTTGGCAAGGTGTGTTTCCAAAAAATATCTCAGTTTAAGTCACTCAGACACACTTCCTCTCTCCTCTCCCTTCTGTCCCCTTGGCTCTTGGCCTTTCCCTCAGCTTTCTCCAATGCCTCACTTTTTCCCTTCTTTTAACCCTCTTGCTTAGGTGCTTCCTTTCCTTTCACAAAAAAGCAGGTATCCTACTTCCACTTGCTTCACCCCTGGCCCTCCCCTCCTCTCCTAGCCAAACTGGTTTGAGTCAGCCACACCCCCTTCCCAGCTCCTGGGGCTATTCAGATGGTGGCTGGCCACCCTACCCCACCCCTGGGCTTGGCTTGGAGCCCTGAGTCAGCTCTACCGCCCAAGCCAAATCAAACCTGAGGCAGGAGCCGAAACTCACAGTCCCTCAAGACTTATAGCCAGGTAAGAGCCCCTGTTCATGTTTATATTTCTGATCTGGACACCTTGGCCCCTTGGGTTCTTCTCCCGCTGCTGACTTGGCATCTGTGTTTTCCTCATCTGACTTTTCTTCAGTACCTATTCCCCTGCAGCTTTGTGACATATCATTTTATTGCTCTCTACTTGTCTTGCCTTTTTTCACCCTTTTGTCTTGTTACTATGTGGAACTACAGGTGGTTTCATTTTGTCCCATCTAAAGGGAAATGATAGAACATTAGGGTGGAAAAGTGGTTGATGCTGGAGCTTTGAGGGCCTGAGAAATAGGGAGGTGAGAAATTAGTAAGTAGGTCATCATTATGCAGGTTTCTGTATGGATAATGAGGTCATTTGGACTCTGTTAATCTGATTGTGTTGTGTGGTTTGGGTTAAAATGGAGAGAGGAGGTGGCAAGGAGGCATAGAAAAGGAGGCCCCAATTTGGGGGAATAAGGTCTTATGTTCAGTTTCTTCGGCTGTGGGGGGAAAAATGTGAATTTTTCCTTTTCCATTCCCAGATGTGAGGTGGTATTTGTTTTGTTTTGCTTTGTTTTTTGGTACTGGGGATTGGACTAGGGCGCAGCACATGCTAAATAAGCACGCCACCACTGAGCTACATCCCCAGACCCCCACCCCACCCCTGTTTTTCAGTCTTTTTATTTTGAGACAAGAGTCTGATTTTCCCAGACTGCCTCAAATTTGTGATCCTCTTGTCCCAGTCTCTGGAATAACTATGATTACAAGTGTGTATGAACCAGCCAGAATTTTTTTTTCATGTGAAATTGCAGCTTGCTTGAAGTGGAGTATAGAGCTTAGGGTCCTGCTCTCTGGTTCCTCAATACTCAAAGGCAGCCTCTGGGGAACTTCAGGGGACTTTAGAACCCTTTGAAGTACAGTTTTAAATCACTTAGCCTTAAGCTTTCAAGATTTTGTTTCTTCCGCTTCTAGGTATGCATTTGTCATTTTGCTTTTCCCAACTTGTTAAAACAGTAATATGTTCACACTTGATTGCCTTCAGAGACTTAGAATCTTAAGCTGAAGGAAAAGGATTCTAGCCACACATTTACTCTCCTATTCTGAGTCACTAGAGGAATTTCCCAGTAGGGCAGCATTCCTGAGAGTTGGGCTAGGCCATGAGGACAGCATTCTCTGAGGGGTGGAGTCAGAGCAAGCCAGGCCAGGAGCTCATGTGTTGGGCTTACAAGTACCTTGACTGTATCGCCCACAGGTGATGGAGGACGAGGAGAAGGCAGTGGAGATCATGGTGAGCAACACGGGAGCTGCTCATTCTCCATCCCCCATCCGCTGCTGCTGGCTCCGCCTCCGCTACTTGGCAGCTACTAGCATTATCTGTGGCTGCTCTTGCCTGGGAGTCATGGCTCTTGTGTTTGCCATCAAGGTGAGGAAAGCAATTCCTATGGGAGCAGGGGAGTGGGTATAAGGCAATGGTTTTGTGTATTTGACCTGTCTGTATTGGCTGAACAGTTACTAAATATCTATTGGTACTTGGGTTTGGGTTAGTGCCAGAATAAGATATGGTTCCTGTTGTCAAAGGACCCATAGTCTAATGAACAAGATGGCAGTGAAAATGGATAATTATTAATAGAGTTTAGTTCATCAGTACTGTAATAGAGGAAGCACAGGATATTCTGGGAGCCAGAAGGGGTCTGTGTTTTTTTGTGTGTGTGTCTGTGTCAGAGTAGGTAAGGCTGCCTAGGGAAGGTGACAGGAAAGTAACCCTAAAGGATGAGTAGATAAGAATGAAAGGTCACTCCAGGTAAAGGCAGTAGTGTGTACAAAGGCCTTGAGTGTTTGTTCGGCATGGCAGATCCAGTGAGGAATAGTGAAAGAGGAAGCCAAAGGATCCACATTCCTGAGGGCCTCAGATTCCGTGTTTAAGAATTTCAACTTTATTTTGAAAGTACTGGGGAGCCATTTAAAGATTTTTGCAGAGGAGAGTGGCTTGGTAATATTTGTATTTCAGAAAAATCAGTTCTCAAGGCCTGTGTAGAGGGTAAATTGAAATGGGCAAGACTAGGGTCAGCTGAGCAATAATGAGAGCAATCTATAGAAGTCTGGAAGAAACAATGGGGTCTTTGAGAGGGCCTCACCTGCAGATGTACCATTTGTTTTTTTTCTTTCTTTTTTTTTTTTGCAGTACTGGGGATTGAACCTGGGATCTTGTATGTCATAGGCAATGCTCTACCATTGAGCTACACTTACAGACCATACATGTACCTTTTGAAAGGCTACTACTCAGGCTAAATATCATGCTGGAATATTCTCATCCCTAAATGTATTTTAACAGTCAGTATTTCTGACTTTCATTAGAGCAAATTTATGAAAAGGATTTTTTTTTTTTTTTTTTTTTTTTAGAGAGAGAGAATTTTATTTATTTTTTAGTTTTTTCGGCAGACACAACATCTTTGTTTGTATGTGGTGCTGAGGATCGAACCTGGGCCGCATGCATGGCATGCATGCCAGGCAAGCTCGCTACCGCTTGAGCCACATCCCCAGCCCCTGAAAAGGATTCTTAATGGTGAAAATGATGATGCCTACTGGGCTATGAGAATGGAATTTGACTGGACATGAGTAAAAAGTCAAGAATTCCAAATTCTGAATGAATCTGAGATGAATAGAAAAGAATAAGGATTGAAAGGATTAAAAAGTGCTTTTCCTGGCAGGTGCAGAGGCTCACACCTATAATCTCAGCTACTCTGGAGGCTGAGGCAGGAGGATCAAAAGTTTGAGGCTAGCCTTGGCAATTTAAGACCCTGTCTTGAAATTTATAAAAGTACTGGTGATGTATCTCAGTGGTAAAGCACCCCTAGGTTCAATCCCAAGTACCAAAAAAAAAAAAAAGTACTTTTTCCATGTGTGATTTAGAGAGCTAACAATGGCCACCTTGAAAAGATGGGTACCTATTTTGTAGATTAGGGATAAGAAAAGCTGAAAAGGAAAGTGAAATATTTGGGTGTGAGGCTTTGAGCTATTATGATGGGGGAGTGGAATGGGGCAATGGGCCATTTTGGGCAGAAACAGGGGGAGAACCTAACCAAGAACCTGCCCCCACAGGCAGAAGAGCGGCATAAGGCAGGCCGGTCCGAGGAGGCAGTACACTGGGGGGCCCGGGCCCGGAGGCTCATCCTGGCCAGCTTTGCTGTCTGGCTTGCTGTCCTTATTCTGGCCCCCCTGCTGCTATGGCTGCTCTCCTACGCCATCGCTCAGGCTGAGTGACCCTGGGTGGCCTCTGCTAAGAGTCAGCTGAGACCTGGATCCAACAGTTTGGTGACAGCAGTGGTCCTTCCTGGCAGGAAGGATGGTGTCTCTCCCAAGGGCCTTTGGAAGAGCTCTCTTAGCCCGTTATAAAAGGAGAGCAGCAGCTGAGACTGATGAAGGGAGGTCAGCCTGCTCTGTTCTTTTAGTGCCCTCCACCTTCTATCTCCCTACCCTGCTCCATCCCAGGGCCTCTACCCAGAGGAGGGGTTGAAGACCAGGCCTGATTTTATTAGAATTTGTTTTGTAATAAAAATCTTTTTTGGTGGTAAAATGTTCCTGTCTAATTGTTCTTTCCCTGCTTTCCCTTGGGCCATTGTTGAGAGCCAAACTGGACATCTGACTAATGGCAGAAGGCTGCATATTGCCTCGGGCCTACCTAGGAGCTCCAAGAGAAGGAAATTATTTTTTTCTTCAGAAGTTTCCCTTGGTGGAAAAACCTCCGCTCTCCCTATACATAAGCAGATACCCTGAGGACAGAGAGGAAGGCTAGTAGCAGCAACTACTATTTATTTATTGAGTACTTAGTGCTGGGCTGTGTTCTAAGCACTTTGTATTTCTTCTTCAGTCCTCAGAATGACTGAATAGCAGGTACCATCATTTTGATTTTATAGTTGAGCATACAGGCACATATTTGCCCAAGGTCACTCAGTCAGTAAATGGCAGAGCTGGGATTGAACCCAGACAGTTTGAATCCAGAGCTGAGGAATGAAAGGGATGGATGACAGTCACAACAACCCTGTGTATTATTATAATGAGCTTTCATATCCTTTATATTGGACTTCATGACAATAAACATTTTTCAAAGTTGTGAAATATTTCACAAAGGAAAGTACCAAAATACACAGCTCAAATTAACACAAAGCAAATATCTGAATAACCACTATTTAGTCAAGAAACTGATCATTGTCAGCACTCCACAAAGCTTTTTCTATCCCTCCCAATCACTACTTCTTCCTTTCTTTTCATAGGTAACTACCATTCTGCATTCTATCAGTGTAGTTAATTTGGCCATGTTTGAACTTAATATAGATGGAATCATATATATATATTTTGTCTTAACCTCAACATTATGAGATTCATCAATATTCAGTATAGAGTTTTTTTGTTGTTGTATAGTATTCCTTGTAACGACTATCATAATCAGTTCATTTTCTATGGGACTTTTGGAATGTTTCCAGTTTGGGGATGTTATAAATCATGCTGCTATGGATGTTTTTGTACATGCTTCTTGGAGTATTCGTGCCTTGAGAATGGAATTTTGGGATTACCTCACCATAATTCAGAGACCAGAAGAGCACCTAAAGGAATTAGAAATGTGCACACTGAAGAGAGGATTACAGAGGAAGGAAGTGCTCTGAGAAGGAAAAGTGAAGAGAATTCTTGGTGGCCCCAGAAATTAGTTTATAACAGTGAGTTGGGTGTGCTAATGCACACTGTAATCCCAGCACCTGGGAGGATGAGGCAGGAGGATTGTAAGTTCAAAGCCAGCCTCAGCAATTGAGGCCTGGTCTCAAAAAATAAAAAAGGTTGGGGATGTAGCTCAGTGGTTTAGGGTCCTTGGATTCAATTCCTGGTACACCCACCCACACACACACCGAACACAAAGACAATAATGGGTGGCAGTGATTCTCACCCTTGACTTCACAATGGAACCACCTGTGAAGTCTTAAAACGTATTTAATGCCTTGCCGGAGCTGATTTAATTAGTATGAGGTGCTGCTTTAAATTTTATTGAACTCACTTCATTGATTTCTAAATTGAGAAAGAAGAATAACACATTATATTTTTGTTTCTTTTTCTGTGGTGCTAGGGACTGAATCCAGGGCCTTGTGCATGGTAGGCAAGTGCTCTACCATTGAGCTGCACCTTATAGTCCAGAGTAATAAATTTTAGGAAGATATTTATGGAAATCTTTTTTGAACTAATGTTTGATTAATCAGCTTCAGTTTATTAAAAGAGTCTATTCCATTCTCCCAATGTAATTAAATGATGTCTTGCTGTTTTTTAAAACAATAAAAGACAAAAACAATAAACTCATGTATATCCTTTACCTAGGCTAATAATTTTTAATATTTCACATTTGCTTTATTGATGAACAATTTGAGGGTAGTTTTTGTTGGTTTTTGGTAATGGGAATTAAATACAGGGACGTTTCTACTAAAGCTATACCTCCAGTCCCCCAGTTGCCAAGTCTGGCTTCTAACTTACAATCCTCCTGCCTCAGCCTCCCAAATTGCTGGGATTATAGCTGTGTGCCATCTGAGGGTAATTTGAAGACTTTTTATGATCTCCTAAAAACAACTGCATTGTTATATAACTACAGTACAATTATAAAAATCAGAGACGCTAACTTGTATACAGTTCTAATTACAATAGAAAATATGTAGTCCATGCTAAAACTTGCCAATTTTTCTCAGCAACGTCCTGAATAGCAATGCATTTCCTGTTTTAGGATCCAGTTGAAAACATTCACTGTTGTCGCTTTTAGTTTCCTTCAGTCTTGGATAGCTCTTCATCCTTATTTTTGTCTTTCATGATGTTTTTGAAGCAAGGCCCCATCACATCAGAAGACCTATCCTGTTGGTTTGTCTTGTTATTGGTGTTAGCATTAACAACTTGGTTAGTGTTAGATTTTGCATCTTTTGTTTCTTTGTTAAAAAAAAACAACAAACTTGTTCCTATGTAAATATCCTTTCTGCAGTGAATTTTCACCATGATTTTAATGCCTATTAATTTTGCCCAAATCATGTTATGAAACTTGCAAAATGTTGCTGTTCTAACTTTATATTGTTCTTTCTAAGTTACTTGGTATTTGACTATAAACAAAATCTGGGGCTTCAAATATAGCTTATTGGTAGAGTGCTTGTCTAGCATGTACATTTATTTATTAACAGATTGTGTTTGTTTTGTGTGGGTTTTTTTTTTTTTTTTTTTTGCACAGTCCTGGAGATTGAGCCCAAGTTCTCTCACATATTAGGCACACAGTCTACCCCTAAGCTACATCCCCAGCCCTTTTTATTTTTTATGATGATGATGATGAGGAGGAGGAGGAGGAGTGTGTGTGTGGTATTGGGGATTGAACCCAAGGCCTTGTGCATGCCAAGCAAGCACTCTACCAACCGAGCTATACCCCCAGCCTCATCTCTTTTTATTCTGAAACAGCCTCATAGAGTTGATAAGGTTGGCCTCTTAACTTGGAAATCCTGTTTCAGCTTCCAGAGTATTTTCCCTGGTTTTGACCAGTGGAAACCTCTTAAACATGGTCCTTGTTCCTTTTGATAAGACCACATCTTTCTTTCTTTTTTTGGCACTAGAGATTGAACCCAAGGATGCTTAACCATTGAGCCACATCCTCTGCCCTTCTTATTTTTTATTTTGAGACAGGGTCTCACTGAATTCCTTAGGTCCTCAATAAAGTGTTGAGGCTGGCTTTGAACTTGCAATCCTTCTGCCTCAACCTCCTGAGCTGCTAGGAGCTCACCACAACCAGCAAGTCCACATTATTCTTTAGCTACCTGCAGAAATTGTTTCAGATGATTATACTTTCACTGCTGCCACCTGGGTAGTGAGCATTTCTCCCATGGGACTGTTATTTAGAAATCAGTATCTAGACACCTGGTGTGCTCATTCTTCTGGGTTACTGCCTATGGTCTTTTCAGAGACCAGAACTAGAAACATTAAATTTTACTTATTTTTTTTTAAATAATATTATTTTTTTTAATTCTTGACGGACACAAAATCTTTGTTTGTATGTGGTGCTGAGGATCGAACCCGGGCCGCACGCACGTCAGGCGAGCGCGCTACCGCTTGAGCCACATCCCCAGCCCAAATTTTACTTATTTTAAACCTATTTTTAATCATTCCTCTTTTAACATTTTTTAGTTGTAATTTGACACAATTCCTCAATTATTTTTATGTGATAAAGGATTGAACCCAGTGCCTTGCACATGATAGGCGAGTGCTATCATGATACCCTAGCTTCATTGCTCCAGTTTCATTCATTTTTTCCTCTCCTTTTCCCATTACCGATTCCATATTCCCAAAGAACAAACTTTGGCTCCCAATCTACATTATTAATGAGATTCATTCATTCTGTTATTCTTTTGCTAGGACATAACCTCCACAAGGGTGGTTGACTTTTTTCATTGCTGCTAGTGTGGAACCTAGGCCTCAGACATTTGACACATATTTGTTGAATAAGTGAATGCCAGGTTAAACTGACTTTGAATTCATCACTCCTGGCAGAAATCGCCACAACCTGATGGGCGCAGAGCAGAGCTTGATAAATCCCCGCCCCCACAGCTTTTGGAAGGCGGTGGAAGATTGGGAACGTGTACAATCCCAGGTGGTAAACATTAAGGCTTGGGAGATACTCAAGAGGAGTCAGCAGCCACAGGACAAGGAGATCTCTTATGGCTGCTTAAGTCCACATCAATGGCTGAGCAAGTATCCAAACTGCCTGTGTTCAAGCGTTTCAAAGGCTGGAGCCCGCCCCACAGAGTAGGTGCTTTAAACTAGGCTGCTAAGATAAAAATATGACCCGAATTCAGACAGGGATGCTGGGAAAAGAATGAGAGAGCCCTACCTAAGCCCAGCAACCTTATGCAGCCAAGCCTTACAGCTCAGCCGCCTAGAAGCTTCCGGGTTCCATTCCAGGCCTTCAATACGGCTTGACAACAAGCTCCACCCTCTGCAGCAAACGCCGTGCGCTGATTGGCTGTCTCTAAAAACGCGGCCCTATGGTCGCCGTCTTGGTTAACTTCGAGCTCCAACGCCGGCTCCAGTCCCGGGACTCTCGGCTTCCTATTAGACTACCAGTTTCCAATCAGAAGAGTTTCTGAATCTCAGTCTTTGGAAGGCGCTAATCATTGGCTGCAGGATAGGGGCGGAGCCCTAGGTCGTCGCCGGCTACGCCAGGAACAAAACCAGGGACTAAAAGCGAACCCTTTCGCAGAGCGGCCTCGCGTGGACCCACACCTGACTGCCCTCCCCAGCGGGTGAGTCTGCGCGAGACCCTGCGCCCCCTCCTAGCGTCCGCCAAGTGCGCATGCGCGGCAACAGCCGCCAGCCCTTGTGCCGCTTTCCCT